CTGACCCAAGGTCACACCAGCAGCTGCATGTGGAGGAGTGGGGGATCAAACCCGGTGTCAGCAAGCTGCCATAAGGTGGTGTGTTCCTTTCTGTATGTTCCAATGTGCCCTGTCCATCCCCCCCTGTATTCTACTGTGTAGGTGTTTACTGTCTTTTGCTTGCTACCTCTGCGGAACTGCTCAAGGTCATCCAGCTGGAGGTGGGATGGCCTCCTTCTATATTCTTACCATCCTAATAAGAACTTTGCAGACATGCTCACAGTGAGATGTGTGTGTGTGTGGGGGGGGAATATAGAAGAAGAGCTTGGATTCATATCCCGTCCTTCACTACCCGAAGGAGTCTCAGAGCGGCTTACAAACTCCTTTCCTTTCCCTTCCCCCCAGCCCCTGTGATGTAGGTGGGGCTGAGAGAGCTCTTTCAAGAACTGCTGGTGAGAGAACAGCTCTGAAAGACCTTGTAACTGACCCAAGGTCACACCAGCAGCTGCATATGGAGGAGTGGGGGGATCAAACCCGGTTCTCCCGGATTAGAGTCCGCGCTCCTAACCACTGCACCAAACTGACTGTTTTCGACTCACTGCTTTCAGTCCAGGGAACCTCATGCTGCAATCCTAAACCCTTCTAAACCCACTGAAGTCAACTGTGTTTAGAACTGCAATGTAATTGACCATTCCCTATAGAACAGCACCACTCAGAAGCATGGTGCTGCCTAGACTTTTCCTTGGTGCTCTAGTTATCAGCACCATCTGAATTCCAGCCAAGTAACGGAACATATCTTGGAAACGTCGCTGCCTTATTTACTGTATTCTTATCCCCCCATCCTTTAAAGAGTTCAGGGCAGACTGCATGGGTCTTACTACCTTCAGTTTATTATCTAAACAGTCCTGTGAAGCAGATGGAGATTAAGCAATCAGCCCAAGATTATCTAGCCAGCATCACGGCCAAGATAAGCATTCGAACCCAGGTCTACCATTTCTCATCCCGACACAAAACGGCAAAAATGCCACTGATATCAACTGCATTTGAAAATTGCAAGCTTCATATCTGACCCTTGATCTGTAGATTATACCAGGATCTGGATCTTCCGCTGTAAGAGAATGAGGTGGTGGAATGGATTGTACCACTTCAAACTGCAGGGGGGAGACAAAACTCTTGAATACTTTCCCATGTACGTTTCTGCGGGTAGCCCTGTTGGTCCGCAGTGGAGCAGCTAGATTTGAGTCCAGCAGCACCTTAGAGACCAGCAAGATTGGGGAGTGGGTTATAAACTTAAACACCCAAACTCTTTCTGGTCTCTAAGGTGCTACTGGAATCTAGCTTCCCCAAATAAAATCACTCTGCAGTTAGAATTAATTATCGCATGGCATTATTTGTAGAATAGCCGGGAGATCCTAAGATGGTCTGGCAGTCAGCCGTTCTACCTCTTTCAGTGTTATGCACCACTAGGTGGCAAGCAAGACTTGTTTTTAAGGCAAGAGACGTTTCAGAGGTGGTTTTGCCATTGCCTGCCTCTGCGTCACGACCCTGGTATTCCTTGGAGATCGCCCTTCCAAATACTAGGCAGGGCTGACCCTGCTTAGCTTCCAAGATCTGACGAGATCAGGCTAGCCTGGGCCATCCAGGTCAGGATTCTGCAATTAGAAAAACAGCACCTCAGGGGAAAAGACTCTTGCCTGCTTGTGCCAGTTTTCTACTCAAGGGGGCGTTTTAAGGAGAATAAGAGAAGAAGAAATTGGATTTATACCCCCACCCTTCACGACCCGAAGGAATCTCAGAGTGGCTTACAATCTCCTTTCCCTTCCCCACAACAGACATCCTGTGAGGTAGGTGGGGCTGAGAGAGTTCTTTCGAGAACTGCCCTTGAGAGAACAGCGGTGAAAGAACTTGTAACTGACCCAAAGTCACACCAGCAGCTGCATGTGGAGGCATGGGGAATAAAACCCGGTTCTCCCAGATTAGCGGCTGCGCTCCTAACCACTGCACCAAACGGGACAAGGTTCAAAAGCGTTGCTCCTCATCTGCCCTTTTTCTCCGCAGCCTCTACAGCGCAAGCTGGAGATTTACATGACCTACCTTTCTATGGTGAGGGAAGGCAGCATATACAGTTATAGCCCCATCTCATCAGATCTCAGAAGCTAAACAGGATCAGTACTTGGATGGGAAACCACCAAGGAAGACTCTGCAGAGGAAGACCATGGCAAGCCACCTCCGCTTCTCACTTGCCTTGAAAGACCCTTGCTGGGGTCGCCATAAGGTAGTTGTGACTTGATGACACGTGTACACAACTTGCCTTGTAAAACCTTGAGAGCCAGTTTGGTGCAGTGGTTACGAGTGTCAGACTCTAACCTGGGAGAACCGGGTTTGATTCCCCACTCCTCCACATGCAACCAGCTGGGTGACCTTGGGTCAGTCACAGTTCAATTCAATTTATTACAGGTCTTTATGACCGAAGTCTTGACCAAGAGGATACCAAAGGGGGATAAAATAGGTACATAAAATAGACATAAATATGTCAAGGTACATAATAACAGTCACATAAAACCCAGGCTGAGCCCAGAGATTAAAAATTACCTAACTACACTTGGGGCGGAGCCAACTAACTAAAATCATCCGAAGATTAAAAATCGGTGTCGAAGTTTTCAGAAGTGCTGGACTTTTCAATGCTTCTTGAGAGCAGCAGTCAGTCACAGTTCACTCGGAGCTATTCTCTCAAGAGCAGTTCTCTCAGAGCTCTCTCAGCCCCACCTACCTCACAGGGTGTCGGTTGTGGGGAGAGGAAAGGAAGGAGATTATAAAATGCTCTAAAACTCCAAGTGAAGGGCAGGGTATAAATCCAATCTCCTCCTCCTCCTCCTGTGAAGGCCAGCATAGTCTAGCATGATCTCGTCAGATCTTGGAAGCTAAGCACGGTTGGGTACTTGCACGGGGGGCGGGCGGAGGGCATCAAGGAAGTCTTTGCAGAGGAAGGCAATGGCAAAGCCACCTCGGCTCCTCACTCGCCTTGAAAGCCCCTTGTTGAAATCACCACAAGTCAGTTGTTACTCTACAGCTCATGCAGACATACATACCTTTCTATGAGTCACACGGGTAGTTGAAAAGTGTGTCTCGAAGTTATAGGTTCGAAGGAATGTTTCAGACACCAGATACCCGCGACAGCAGTTTCTCTTAAAGGCGCCAACTGGACTCGGATTTTGTTCTGTCGCTTTAGACCAACACGGCTACCCCACCTGAATCTATCTTCCAAGTTATCCGTCATCTATCTCACTATGAGGATCTCCCCCCCCTCTTTTTTTCAAAGCTGTATCCTGGGTGCCTATTTTTACAAGCTGTCGCATATATAAGATCACCCTCCACATTCACCGATCCAGAATAGCCATTAGGTTCCATGCGCACGAGCACCAGAGCGGATCAGATTGCAAGTCTCCGCGCGACACGCAAGGAGGGCCTGTGAGTTAATGGAAGTTGAGGGGGAGCTCATCCAAGCTCAGTCTGGTCACTATCCAGAAATCTAGGAAATGCTGACCAGCTTGCATGAGTCTACCTGAACATGTACACACAGCGTATCGCTTCCAAAATGCAAAGTGCTTAAAGTTAGCCTGGAAGACAGGTTCCCACCACAGATGTCCCGCTCTTCAATGCCATTTGGGGTTTCTCAGGGGAAACTGGAAAGCAGCTAGGAGCGGCAGTAATATAGTAGTGGAATAAACAGGAATAAATAGCTTTAAAGAGGGGATTAGAGAGAGATTCATGGAGGATAAGTCTGTCAATGGCTACTAGCCGTGGTGACTGAGGGGAACTTCCACAGTCAGAGGCACTAATCCTCTGAACCCCAGAGCCAGGAGGCAACATCAGGGGAAGGCCTCAGTCTCTCTGCCCTGTTGGTGGCCCTTGAGAGGAACTGGTTGGCCACTGGGTGAGACAAGATACTCGACTAGATGGACCACTGGTCTGATCCAGCAGGGCTCCTCTGATGTTCATATGAAGAGCATGAGCTGGGAAGTTCCAGGTTTGAATCTCCACTCTGCCAGAAACTTATTAGTAGCAGTCGCAGGCAAGCCATTTTCTGAGGATGCCAGAATAATGATACTGACATACCCTACAGCAGTGGTGGCGAACCTATGGCACGGGTGCCAGAGGTGGCACTCAGAGCCCTCTCTGTGGGCACACGTGCCATCGCCCCAGCCAGGCCCAGACCATCATTAAAGTGTCGAATTCTCTGCCAAATAATTTTAAGTAAATGAAAGCATTTGGGATTGCTTTCCTTACTTTGTTTGGATCATCTTAAGTTAATGTGTGAGTTGTTTTTTCTAAAGTAAAACCGCAGTATTCAGGTTAAATTGCCATGTTGGCACTTTGCGATAAATTAGTGGGTTTTGGGTCACAGTTTGGGCACTCGGTCTCTAAAAGGTTCGCCATCACTGCTGTTGTGAGGACGGGCAAGATAATGTACAAATACCACAGGCAGAAACTACTTTCTGTCAACCTATGGCATTTTTATCCCACCTTTGTAGCAGGTTGGTAGCAGGCTGAGGTCGGGTGACTGGCCCAAGGTCCCCTAATGAGCTGCATGCCAGAGCAGGGACCTGAGCTTGGGTCTCCTCAGTGCTGGCATGCCACTCTAACCACTGCAGAGCACTGCCCCTGCAGAAGGGAGTTCTGAGTTCGGGAAAGCTCATACCGGAAGGGAGCTCTGACTCTCGGAACCCTATACCCCCCAAAAAAAAAGCTTGTTGGACTCTCAGGCGCTACTGGACTCGAATCTCGCTAGGATAAGTTTCGTTTGCCCTGAAGGGGCCCGCCGGGCTCCTGTTGGAAAGCGCGCGAGTGCGGGGTTCTTCTGCACATGCTCAGGAGCACTCTTTCTCTCGGGGCTGCTGGGAGGATCGAGCGGCGCGCGGGCAAAGGAAAGCACCGCCGGCGCTCGATCCGGACCCCAGCCTTGCCGCAGGCATAGCCCGTCCCCGTGTGCCGCTGCCGCCCCCTCCCTCTCTCCGCCTTACCAGGAGGACGTGCTTGCTCCCCTCGTTGGCCAGCCAGCTCTTGCGGGACACGGCCATGGTGCCATCCGCGGGAGTTGCCCCCGGCGCGGCTTCGCGTGCGTTTGGGGAGCAGCCG